TTTCTCTACATTTAGCACATCTTTCATTTTCCAGAGGTCAGAAAATGCTGGTCTGAGTCTTGTGAAGGAGGTATTGAGAGGTCAGAGGTGTTTAAACATTACCTCCCCCGCAATGGAAAATGCTGTCTTGAGGGATGGACTTTCTGGACAAGATGTTAATCCCCAACATGAAAATCTGCCAACCACATCAGAAATCTGGGCCGTGCCGTAGCATATTGCAGTGTGCTGAAGGACAGTGAAACTCTGTGGCTGTCTTCAATACCTGGCATTCTGCTGGTGGGGCTCCTGAAACACCAGAGAGCCTGGGAAGCGTGTTGGATGTTTTTTAGGGTAGCATTGCCATTGAGCAACCACCAAGATGCTCCAGGGTAGGGTCTTGGGAGTAGTCCTCTGGGTAGGTGGCACAACGTTCCTGTACAGACCGGTGCCACGGCCACGCTGCTCTTTACCTGCACAGGTCCACAAGGGTTCTTGTCAACAGGGCTCCAAGGTTTTGGAGTTTATTAGCCTGCACTGACCAAACTTGTCAACAACATGTGATTTTCTGGAGGGCATGTGATGGGCAAGGGGAGTGACGGAGACTTTCTTCTTTGAGTTTGCTTGGCAGTGCCTGTGAACTTTCCATCCAAACCTGTCGGGGTGGGGGGTGGTGTATGCCTGTGGGACATTTTTGCAGAGTTGTCCTCTCTGTTTGTTTTCAGACAGCTTGAAAAAACCATTGCTGTTGCCCAAAACAAATACCTAGATGAAGCAGTGAAATTTGATCTTTGTAAAGCTGATGAGAATATTCCATGACAAGATCTACCAAATAAGCTCTACCTTGTGTGTCGCCTGTCTTCTGGCAGGACGGTATGTCGCAGAAGCACCAGGGTGACTTTAGTGCAGATAAGAGAGACCCTCCGTCTGGAGTTGGGATCTGCAGGCAGCAGCAATGCTAGCGCCAAAGCAAAAGGAACCGTTTTGTGATGGAGCTTGTTTATGCGAGCCTCAGCCACCTTGTCTCACACGCAGGCTGCTGCGGCTGCATTCTGGGGCAACAGGGACTGTCTCGGGGGAGCTGCCCCCCAGTACTGGCAGCAGATGCCTTGGCTCTCCACTGGGCATTTGCAGAGGAGGCGTAGGCAGCGTTTGCTGGAGCTGCGCCGCAGGACTTGCTCGCGCGTGGCTAACGTGCCCGGGGACCCCAAGGGGATGCAAGGGAGGAGGAAGAGGAGGAGGAGGAGGAGGAGGGCTGGCTTCAGCAAGCACAGAGCCAGTAATGACTCCCAATGCCTGCAGAGGGACTGGCTCTGCCCGAGCTCAGCCAAGCCCCCTGCTATCGCCTGTCGGGAGGGGGCTGTGGGGATCCCAGCATCTGCTTTTCCAGCTTGTTTGGAAACCCGGCTGGAGAACAAAGTCCAGCCTAGAGCTCGGGCTCCCTCCCCCTATTCTGCTTCACATGCTGTTTCCCATCTGGGAGGTGATCATGGTATTAAATTAATTTAATACACAATGTTCAGAATTCCCCTAATTAGAAGGTTTTGTTCGAATTTTAGGAGAGCGTGAGTATTTGTGAGGTATCAGCAAGTGTAAACGCAAGACGACCAGCTCAGGCAATAGCTGCGACCTCTAAAATGTTGGAAAGGATAAAAATCAGTGGATATTTGCACATGGAGAAAATTGGTCTTTCTGCTGTTCTGGGTTTTCATTTTCCTTCTTATTCTCCTCCTTGGTCACTGGTACCTAAGCTGCTTTTTCAGACATAGGGACTTTCTGGTAGACTAAGGAAATTTCCCAGAATTTAGTATATTTAATCTCAAAACCAAGGGAGAAGGAAGAATTGGATTGCTCTGAGTACTGATGATGCCTTCTCCAAGCACTCTACCAAAATGCAGCTGCATTAAAAAAAACTGTTTATTCTGCAGTAGGATCATCCTTTGAAATAACATTATCCAGCTGTTTTGGGGAACATCGGCACCAGACACCATGTTCCGCACCTTGCAGCACTCTCCTCACTGCAGTGCAAAGACATTTGACTGCTCCTCGCAATGGCCGTGTATGGGGGGATGCTGCTCCGGTCCTCCATCATCCTCATCCCCGTTGCCCGGGCATGGTGTTTAGAAGAGCCTCACTTGGCTCGCTGTGCAACTTCCATTTTGGGGCCAAACACAACACTTCTGTCTCCTAGTGCTGTGTCTTTGACTTCTGCAGAGCTGCACCTGCTTTGCACTGGGTTGGAGTTGGACTCTGGATCTACTCTATCCATCAGACTCAATGTAATGGTGTCCTCAGGGCTTTCAAGTAGATGGACAAAGAAGCCATTTCAGAACTGCTGTAAAGTAGGCAGAATATGATGGTGAAGAGGAAGGGTCCGAGATGGATCTCTCTCCAGGCAGGGAATGCTCTGAAATGCTCAAAATGGCGTTTGGGGGATAATTTTTTTCCCAGTGCTTTGTCTGTGAAGAATGAGGGCTGTGGGGGGAGGCATGCACCCAGGGTAAATGCCTCAGCTCTATTGTTCCCATCATTTCTATTGAGGTTATGAACCCCCATATAAAAGACTTACCTTTCACTAGTATGATTAAGAAAAGGCCAATGTAGCTTTCCCGCTCACTGGAGCATGAAGCGTGTTTAATTTAATAATGCTGATAAATCTTAAAGCCAGAAGCATTTGACTAACACATGACCCACTTTTTCAATCAATTGGAAACATTTACATAATGGTCTGATGCAGGGTTCCTTCTGTGAGGGATGTGGAGCAGGGGATGGCAGACACTCCCGTGATAAGCACTGCCACTGTAGGAAAGCAAAATGGCAAATTTGGCTGGTCCTTAGCAGGCAAGTCGTGACCTACCTCATTGGGTCTGCCAGCTGTCCTGCTGCCACAAGAATGTGCCTGGGTTCAGAGCACCTCAGCCACCCAGATGGGCTTTGGGGTCCATCACCCTGATGGCAAAGCCACTGCTTGTGAATATGCCTTGACCATCAGCTGTGAACAGCCTCTGCCTTCCTCTGGCTGTGCTGTCAGAGGATGCTCATCAGCCAGGAAAGGGAGCTGCAGAAACTGTGTTGGTGTGCACAGCCCTGTGGGTAGCTGCAGTGGTGTCATGGCTGTGTTTCTTTCCCTGTGGCAGAGCTAGGCTGCTCCTGGGGCAGGACATGCCTGGGGATGGCTGTCCACCTGTGCAATGAGGGCATCTCTTTGGTGCAGGCACTTTGTCTACTGGTACATCTGGAGCACTAGCAACACTGACATCCACAAATCAGCCCATTCATCCTTTTCAGCATTGCCTCCCATGCACAGGAGTCAGCCTGGGGTTAACCAACACAACCAGTTATTCATTTTCCTTTATCGTTCACCTGCAGTGGGCTCAGTTTTGAAAGAGAAAGTTCATGATCTTTGTGTTATTGTGTCTCAGCTTGTTCTCATTACTCTGGTACCTAACATCACCTTCTTCCTCAGAAATGTTGTTCTCCTCCCCAACCTTAACAGTGCCTTTTGGCTTGGCATCTTCAACACATTTCATTTCTTACACTTCTTGTGAGGGTTTTACTTTTTTTCATTTGTAACATCCAGTGGCCTCAAGATCAGTGTTTGCAAGTAGGTTATAAGTAAACTCATTATCAGTGAGCTGGTCTTTGTTAGGTTGGTGGGAACACCGTCTCCCAGTTAACCGTGTGAGTTTTATCCATTTTGGGTTTCACAGTAGCCCTTTGGAAGAGGCTTTACGTCAAACCCATCTCCCAGCCATAATTTGTGTATTGCTGCTTGTTCATTCATCCTGACTGCCTCTTTGCACTAAAGTAATACTTGAGAACTGGTTTACCTCCCATTTTTTTGGTCACAAAAATCCACGTCTGAGCAAAGGAAAATTCCAGATGCTTGTGACCAGGATGAAAAATCTCCCATCTGATATATACTGAGAGATTAAACAACGTGGGGGAGAATTGCTACAGATCTCTCAGCATTGCATGTAGAAGGGTGCTGGCACCTCCCTCTGAGACAGGACTGGGGACCCCATGCAGTGGGCTAGGTTGCTCCTAGCAATAATGTAGACATGCTACTAAATGCAGAGACATTTCATATGCCAGGTCCACACGCAGACATGCTACTAAAGAGGTATCAGGAAAGGAAAAGGAAGGATTTGCTGTTCTACGATTTTTTTCCCCTGCCTTCAAAATATAAGTGGCATTTTTCCCTCTAGAGGGCAGAGGAGGAAAGGGAGAGAATGAGAAAGGAAACGAACATGACAGCAGAGGGAAAACTCGCAGAGGTTTGTTTTGTTAAATCCATGCAAAGCACGAATGGTTGGAAATGGCTTGATCCTGAGACCCAGTGCCCAGCTAGGGTGCCCACAGGTCGGGATGAAAACGCAGATGTGTAGCAATCGGGACACCAGCTCCATCCTTCCCACTCTGTGCTCCTGGGGTCAGATATTTCCTGGTTACTGAAAAACTGGCTTTTGATTTTCTGAATGCCCATTCACATTTGAAACGGTTAATTTTGGTTTGCTAGGTAGGTGCCCTGGGTATTTTAAGTCCCAGTCCAGCCATCAGTCCTTGGCCAAGCTGCTCCACTGACTCCCTGCTCCTTCATGCACATGCTCAGCTGGGCACAGCTGCTTTTCACCTCACGCAGGTGTGGGATAGACATCTGGCTGTGCCATCTCAGACACTTGAGTCTTTGATCCCACAGTAGCTTTTGCATAAATCCGGTAGCAAAGCCACAGCAGAGCTACGGGCTGTCCCCAGGCTCGCACCCAGCATAGTCCCTGCACCCAGCAGCTTGCCTGACTTGCACTCATGAAGGTGCTCAGCCCACAACATCTCCCCACAGCTCCTCCAGCTGTGGCTTTCCCATTCTCTGCTGCTCTGCAGGCTCCATCCCACATCAAGAAACCTGCCTGTTTTGAGAGAAAACCTTTCTCCCTCTCTGTCCCCAGGTGATACGGCCGTGGTGCTGTCTCATTCTGCGCCAGGGCTGCCCTCCCAGCTAACACACGTCTCCCGTCCCCTGGTAGGAAATGGAGTCCAAGGTCTCCGAAGGCGGCCTGAACGTCACCCTCACCATCCGGCTGTTAATGCATGGCAAGGTAAGGGGCTCTGTGTGAGGGAGTCTCCTCACAGCTCCCTCTCATGCCTCTGCTCCAGCTGTGACCAAGTCCAGCCAGCCCCAGGCTGCAGGGAGCAGGCATCGTTCTGCTGATGGGGAGGGTGCCACGGTGGCACAGCGCTCCTGGTCCCTCTCGTGCCTGTCCCCCACCCTGTCCTTCTGCTGGGGACACTGTGCACCAGGTCTTTGCTGCATTATGGGGTTGGGCTGGGTTGTCTTCACTTTCTGTAATGTCAATTCATTTGTGTTTGGCTTTTTTTTTTTTTTTTTTGTAGGAAGTTGGAAGCATTATTGGAAAGGTAAGGACGTCTTTTAAATATGTATTTAATGTTATTGCCTGCACGATTTGCTGCCTCTGGTGTGGTAGATGACAGTTACCTCTTCCCTGTAATGTCCCTTAAATGTTCAGTGTGCATGAGCTTGTCTGTGGGTTTGTGAGACAGAAGCAATCAGAGACCCACAGAGGGATCAAAGACCAAACTTATCTAGTGCTGTTTCCAGCTGCTTTATTGTGGTGACAAATGGGTGTTTATGATCATGTTGCCCTGATGTGTTAATTAAATATATTCATTAAGAGAGATTAAGAAATGTCGTGCAAACCCATTTAAATTCACTTCCCTCTGAGGCCATTTAGCTTGTGCAGAAAAGCTTCACAAGGTGCTCTGCTCCCTGGTGCTTGCCGTGGTGGTTTGGAAAGTCCTGGTTATATAGGATTTGTGTTTTGGTGTTTTTAAAAGGCAGTTTTGTGGTAGCAAAGATTTGCGGTACAAACACCTTCTTCTAAATGCTTGCACTTTATTTTTCCATCAGCCTGTCCAGCCCTGGAAAGATTCACAGTTGTACCTGCTTTATATCTGGATATAAAGATACTAGATCTCTCTGTAGGTACTAGATAACTGCCCTTCAAAGCCACTCGGAGGTGCCAGCTTTTCTCAACACCTGATGAGTTTTTGAGCTTTTCCTGTGCATTTTTCCTCCTAACAGGAAACACAAAAATGGAGATGGAAGCTGAAGTTGTGCATTAGTAGCTGTTTGTCTGTCATGTCTTACAGACACAGGGTGCAGGACTACAACAGCTTGCACCCTCAGCTCTGCATCTGACCATCACGTGGGGATGGAGGACCAGGCTGCCCAAATGTTTGGCTACGTGTTGCCACATATTAGAGAGATGCATGTTTGGAAGGGTTGTTTTGAAGGTAGAAGTCTTGAATTTTTAGTAATAGCCTGTGTTTCTGCTTCTTATTTCAGAAAGGAGAGACTGTGAAGAAGATGCGTGAGGAGGTGAGGAACCTGATCTGTAAAATTATTTGTAGGAGAAGGGGAGAGGAGTAGGAAGGGCTGTTGAGCTGTCCTGTCCAGCAGTGGGCAGCACAGCGGCCAGAGCTACACATTGCCCTGTGCAATACGTGCAGTAGGTCCCAGGGTCAGGACACGCAAGACATCTGTGTTCAGAGGTCTTTGATCTAGTTTTCTCACTCCGTACTCAACAAACTCCTATCACATTTAATGGAAATTTTCCAGAGCCAAGAATTCGCTCTTAACGAAAAACTGAAATTAAGTCACTTGTAAGATGCTTGAGTTTGTCCAAGGTCTTTGCGCCTGCAGCTACCAAAGAGTTATCAGATCTGTAAGCAACACTCTTCTTTTTATAATGATGCCATGAGCTTGTCTTACCTTGATTGTGTGGGTTTGCATTGCGGTAAAAGATGCAAAGCAGATGCTTGGAAACCCTTTCTGAGGGTCAGGGTAAGGCAGCACTGGAAGCATCATGGGGGGCAGGGATGGGAGTTTTTAAGGTTAGATGGGATGCCATGAGGCTGGCACAGAGGATGACAAGGGACCGATCTGGGACAGGACCTGACCCAGAGGAAGGACTGTGCTTCCAGCACATCCCCGTGGGTTGCCTGGCTGTGGCTATTCCAGGGCTGCCCTTCTTTTTCCAGAGTGGAGCAAGGATCAACATCTCAGAGGGAAACTGCCCTGAACGAATTGTGACCATCACTGGCCCCACTGATGCCATCTTCAAGGCTTTCGCCATGATTGCCTACAAATTTGAGGAGGTGAGCAACATGAGCCCTTTCCCTCAGGGAGGCAGAGTAAAAGGGCCTGCATCTAGACCCCTGGCCCACCAGCCGAGCAGAGTTCCAGTGTGACCACTGCTGGGTCCAGCAGTGCAGATGGACATGGGTACCTCCAACCCATATGTGGTGCCTGGCTGCACAAAACCTTCCAGACATCTCTAACTAGGCAAGAACAGAGCTTCAGTGAACTGTCCCAGAGATCTCATAGTTAATTAACTGCAGGGATGCAGTGATGCAGCTGCAGACAGAGACCACCCACCGTCTGGGGACCATGACCCCTCTTTTCTGGCCCAGGGAATTTGGGTTGGCAGGATCTGCTTGGGTACCAAGGGCCGATGCATTGCATTCTTCCTTCCCAAGGACATAACCAACTCAATGAGCAACAGCACTGCTACCAGCAAACCTCCAGTGACACTGAGACTTGTTGTGCCTGCTAGTCAGTGTGGCTCACTGATCGGCAAAGGAGGCTCTAAGATCAAGGAAATCAGGGAGGTAAGTCAGACTTGATTTCATCATTGCATGTAATCACAGCTCCTCGGAGCTGATCTTGGATCCTTATTCTGCGAGCATCGTGCATCATGCTGCTTCCCAGGATGGTCCTGCTGATGTAGGAGCAGCATCCCGTGGGACCTTTCCAGCATGCTCCTGCAGATGCAGGAATCTGGGCTCGTGCAGGGCAGTGCAGCTCTTGGGAGGCATGTGGCACCGGAGCTGGAGCTGGCTGCAAGGAAAGGCACTCAGCTGTGGGATTTCTCCTCCTCTCTCTTTCTGTCTCCAGTCAACAGGTGCTCAGGTTCAAGTGGCGGGGGACATGCTGCCCAACTCCACAGAGCGGGCGGTGACAATCTCGGGGACACCCGACGCAATTATCCAGTGTGTCAAACAGATCTGTGTGGTGATGCTGGAGGTACAGTCTGTAACAAAGGGGGTAAAGTACATAGGAAAAAATCCCAGCTGGAACCACAGCAGCGCTGGGAGCTGTGGGGTGTGTCTCTCGTACACTTCACCATGTGTTGTCAGACCACTCTTATTTCCTGGTACCTCCGTTTGAAACCCACCTAGTGTGTTTTCCCCACCACTGTCCACTGTTTCTACAGTCCCACACTGGAAACCTGCCTGGTCGGGTGCCCCAAAGGAGACGGTTTGTGTCGCAGAACAGGGTGGCTTTGGGAGAGAGGGGTACTGGAAGAGGCTGGGAAGGCTGAGACAGACATATCCTGGTGTCCCTGGTATCCCAGAGCGCTGTGGAAAGGGGATGTAGGCTGCAGCCACTCCGCCATGTGCCTGGCCTCCTCTGCACAGGCCTCACAGGGCCCCATGAGGACCATGGCTGGGAGAAGGCCAGTTCATCCCTTACACTGGGAGCACAAATCCAGGCTTCAGTGAGGCACAACAGGAAGGGTAGTGAGGAATGCTGGTGGAGAGCATGGCCTGTAGGGTGCATGGATGTGTGTCCAGGGTGCTGTTTTCTGGGAGAAATGCTGATGAGCGGAGCTTGAAGCTCTCTTCCATGGAGAGATGCTCCTGTACCAATGGCTTATTGCCAGGGATGACCATGCCCAGATGCCCCACGTCCACACCTACTACTTCAGATGGGAGAAGCTCCAGAAGGAAACACGTTGGGACAACAGGATGGTTATATCTTCCACTCCTGGTGTCTCCCAGAGGTAGACAAGCACAGACTGATGTCAGGCCCCTCTGCCTTGCTGCACAGCCTGCACACCACTGCCCTTTCATGGCAGGGATGAGTGCATTTGATGCTGCAGGAATTTCAGACAAAGACAGCAAGGCTTGGTGGAGGAGAAACCAAACCAAATGGAAGCAACTTCAGTTTGGCAGCAGCACAGCTAAGGAGGAATTGCCATGAGCCACATTACACACTGCTGTTGGTAGTGATGCTCAGGCAGGTACACTGTACTGCCAGAGGAGTGCAATTTAGCTGCGCGGTGACTCCAGGTTATGCTCTGGACTGCAGCAGAGATGGGCCCAAGGTGATGCTTGCAGGTGTGTATACAGTCTTTCATGACTACTGTTCTGACTGACAAAGCAAGGGATGCAGCTCCTCTGTATGACTCAGCAATGGGAAAGAGAAAAACTCATGAATTTTCTTGCAGTCTGAAATGTGGGAAGTCTTCTGACTTTAACAGTTCACAGAGATGCTCCTCAGAACCTTTTCGTCTTAAATTATCTTACCACAGTAATCCTCACATCCCCTCCAAGATTTGTAACAGAATAAAAAAAAAAAAAAAAAAAAAAAAAAAAAAAAAAAAAAAGCAAGCAGGTTTGTGATTATAGAGGCTGTGCTTTGATCATACAGCTTTCCTTCAGACTGTGCTTAAGCAGGAAGATTTGTATATGTCACTTGGCTACAAGTGGATATCTAGAAGAATGTACAGAAAAAATGAAAAATTTTCCATGAGATAGTGTAATTTATATTGCCTGTCTTTACATAGCAGTATCTTGGTCATTTCACTTCGGATAGAACCTAGAGACTTTTATCTGAAAGTTCTTCTGATCCCTAGAAACCTCTAAAATCTCTTCTATGGCCTGTTAGTTATGTTCAAGAGAAAACTGACAGAGATAACTTGGGTGAGAAGAGCCCATGTATGGTGCAGCAAGATGCATCACTACAGTTTGATGTGCATCAGATACCATCAAGCTTCTGCTTGGACCTACTCAGGGACCGGTCAGGCCACAGCAGCAAAGAGCAAGATGTCCTGCCCAGCCAGAGTGGGGCTGCACTGGGTCACACGGCCGCAGGAGGAGGTCTGGGAGTGGATACGGATCAGTGCCTCTGCTGCTGGTGTCTGTCTGCTCACAAGGAATACTACCACCATGCAGCTCTAGGACAAGATCTCTGGAAATTCTGGTGTTGCCATCTGAGAGGGGTTTCCAGCCTCTGGCTCCTCCAGAGCTCAGCACTCTGGCCAAAGTGATCACTGCCACTTGTCTTGCCAGGGCATGGAAGGTCTAGACAACAATGAAGGTGATTTGCAGCATCTGCTGTGTGGCCACCCACATCCCAGCTTGAGTGGTGATAGACCAAACCAAATCCTGAAGGTGACCCTGTCCCTTGAGGCAGTGAGGAAGATGAGAGGGGTCAAAGAGCTTTAGCATCGTGCCGGGTCACTTGGACCGGCTGCTCACTCCTTCTGACGCCCATGCTCACGATGCCACGCCACAGCTCCTGGTGCTCAGTGGGACTGGTATGACTCCAGGGCAGGCCGTCAATGTGCAAGAGCTCTCAGGCTGCAGAGAAAGCCACCGTGCCAGGAGCCTCCTGGCAGCCAGGGATTAAAAAGCCTGGTCTGTGAGTGTACCTCCATATCTTGCTGCCTGAGGGTCTCCTCAGGGTGTTTTGAGGAGGGCACTACATTCAAGCATCAGGCTAGATCTAGACCAGTTTGCAGAGAGCAGAGTGGAGGCAAGGGAGGCAGTGGAGGTCCAGGAAGTGATACAGGGGCCTGTGTCTTGTCAGGGGATTTCCCGTACCCCAGGTTGTCCTTGTTGTCCATTAAACACCAATTTGCCCCCATGTCCTCCTGTCCAGAAACGCGGTTTGCCTGGTGTGGGTGTTGCTGGTGGTGGCCCCGGGGGCCGTGCTCTGTCGGGTGCTTTCTAACACTCTTTTTGCCGCTGTTTCAGGAAAGCTCTTCTAATGTTCTCTCTCCCTCTCCTTGTCCCTTTTCCTAGTCCCCACCAAAAGGTGCCACCATTCCCTACCGCCCAAAGCCCGCCTCCACCCCTGTCATTTTTGCAGGTGGTCAGGTAAGAGCCGACCCGCTTGCAGCCTCCACTGCCAACCTCAGCCTTTTACTGCAGCACCAGCCGCTGCCCGTTAGTGCACTCAGGTTTCTTGCCTTCTGACTTGCATGGTGTCATCCCATCTGTTGTGTGCCATGGCAGGTGGACTGAAAGCTCTTTGCAGAACCACTGGCAGTTTACAAGCCCGGGCAGATGGCTTAGATCCTGTGATGGCTGTTGGAGGAAAAGAAAAGGGCCAGCCAGGGGAAGCTGGAGTTTTCTTCAATAGACATTTATTCATTTGAAATTCAGTATTCACCAACAGTTACCACTGTAAAGGAGGAAATGAGAAAAGCCTCCCTGAACATGAGGCTGCAACCATGCTCTCACAGTGGCTCCAAGTGTTTATTTTCTGGCATCCAATTAAAAATAACTTTCCATAGTTGTAGTTGATCCAAGACAGGAAGGGCTCGTCCAAGCCACCCCAGGACTGTGCTGAGCCTCTGTTCAAGGACAGCCTCCATGAAAGAGTCATGTCCACATCACTGGTGCTCAGCCGGTCTGGGGTGCTTCTTCCCCTGAAATTCCCATAACCTCTGCTGCAAAGCTGGGCCTTAGCTCTGTCTGCAGGAGAGCCTGCATTGCATTGCTTTCAGTGACATTGCACAGTGGTCGGGCTGCAGGCTTGCAGTCATGATGTGGTGTTTCTAGAGACCTTTAGGAAGCAATGGCAGATTTTTCCTTTGCAGGATAACCATAGCACATACATGCCATGGGAGCTGGTGGTTGTTCTGCAAACAAAAATCAGCTCCTGCAACCTGTGATTTATGAAATGAGCTGTTAAGCAGGCAGCTGCTTTTAAAGAGGGGACTCGAACCCTTGCTTTTTCCACCTCATCTACTCACCTCACCGGCTGACTGAGGACCTGCCTGTAGAAGCCACCATGCCGTGGTGCACCAGCAGATACTTTCCCAGGAGCTCCAGCAGTCAGGTAGAGCCAGCACCACGAAGCTACAGCTAATGACATCCAGAGCAGCTCCACACAAGTTATTTCATTTCTCCTCAACCATAATAAATAGCAGAAGGGCAAAGCCCAAAGCACAGACAGCATGCTGAATTGGTATCTCTTAGTCACTGCCAGCATCAGGAGGAGTGTGTCGTTTGGTCTGATCAGCCATCCTGGAAAAGAGCTTTGAGTCCATCTGCTTGGTGAACTTATCTTCTCAAAAGGGAGAGTAAGATGGAGGTAGCATTTCTCCTGGTGAATGGTTGGTGTCTTGCACAGAAGTGATGTTATGGGAAGAAGCAACCATCTCTGAAATGAGAGCTCTTCCCTGCTGCTCCTGAGGGAGCACTGGCTCTGCCCGAGAGGGTGGCACAGTGCGGGTGGGCAGAGAACATCAGGTGATAGTCAGTGGTGCTGCGGGGTGCTTGGGGTGAGTTGAGTTTGCAGGAGCTCAGCAGGCTGAGGGACGTGGTGGCCAGTGGCAGCTGCCAAAGGGATCAGCCCCATCGTCCATGTGTAATGTCAGAAAGCAGAGGGTCACGCAGGCAGGTCTGCATCTGTCCAAGACACCTTCCTGCCTTTAATTAGCTTGTTCTAATACATATTTCTAATAAATAAATCAAAACCCAACCCAAACCAAAACAAACCAACCACCAAATTAAACTGCCAGGAAAGACTGAACTTTTTAGAGTGGCCTCTGCCACGTCCCCATTGAGCTGGGATGCCAGCAGATGTGGGGATGGCGTGGGGCTTTGCCTCCTTCCTCCAGGACTTCAGGGGTTTTCCTCACAGAGTGCTTTGCTGTTTGAAAATGATGCAGCAAGTTTGCAGAAGGTTCAGAGGAGATTTTTAATTTTTTCTTGGCTATCTTTACTCTCCCTTTTTAAAGTGTTATCCATCTGTTCTGCCATTTCTTTCAGAATCATCTGAATAATGTGTCAACCAGTGAGATACGTTTTGCTAGCTGGTTAAGTCCTAAATATTAGGCTCTCTAGTGTCTGGCTCTGTACCCACAGTGATGCTTATTTTCAGGTTATTTACAAAAGAGAAAGGATTGATACAAATGATGGGAAAAGCACTAAACAATTTGCCTAGCAGACATCTGCATGGATTTGTCAGCTATAGCTGGTGAAAGGCATTGCAGTGCAGGCAGTCTGTCCCTGAGCCCTGTCCACACTTGCTGATACAGCAAAGTGCTGCCCAGATGGCTTTCTGCGCAGCAGTGCCTTTCCCTCAGCAGAGCACTGGAATATACTGGGTAGATGTAAAGCATGTTGAGTTGTGCACCTGAAAATATGGAGAGACTCACTGCACTGGTTTGCTTTCTAGGATCTCATTTAGGTGCAAAGGTGATGTTACTGTGCATCCACTACACAGATAATTCTGATTTCATTAATATCTTTTGTCCAGAGAAGCCCAGTCTTCCCACTCCATGCAAATCTGGTACCTTTAAAGAGCTGTTACATCCTTTTGGAAAAGCCAAACTGAGCCCAAGTCCATCAAGTTAGGTAGCTCAGTGTGCTCCAGCTTCGATCGAAGGAGTACATCTCCCTCCCATCCCAACAACTCGCTGGCCCAGCAGATTTAATGCAGCATGGGGGGTCTTTCCCTGGGCTAGCCAGGGAGGTGCGCATGGAAAGGGCTTCTTCCCTCATGCCCTCCAGCCTCAAAATTAAACTGGTTAAGTCAAAATTCAAGATCCCACAGTGGAGTGAGGGGAGAGGTGTGCTGGTGTCACAATGCTCGGCTCCCCGTGTTCCATTATTTGGGGGTAACACAGCATCTCAGACAGAGCAGGGTGGGAGCTGAGGTCCTCTTTAGTCCCAGCATTCACAGCTTTTAGCCCACGTCAGGCAAAAAGGAGCAAATCCTGGGGACAGCAGTCCCTGTGGAGGCATGGGGCTTTGCTACCACCTCCTACCAGCCCTAATAACGTGTGTTTTTTTTCTTTGCAGGCCTATACAATTCAGGGACAATACGCTATTCCACACCCGGATGTGAGTTTTACCCTTATTTTTCTTATAACCCTTTTATGTCACCTGCATGCTACTGTTAATTCACATAATATTAATATTAGACAATAATATTAATAGCACATTTTCAAAGTAACTGGCCGTGTGTAGTATCCGTAATACCTTGAATAGTCTTTTAACCTGTTAGCACTAAACTTTATTAATTCTGAGGACTTGGCCTGATGCTAAATTGTTTGCATTGTTCAGTGCTATCCCTTTGTTCTGAGACAAACCATACTCTATGCATTTTGTGCCTCAAAATGATCAAAACATGCAAAGAGAGGGAATAAAAAATACTTTCCTCTCTATTTCTCCCCTGTCCTTAAAATGTTGGTAAGCCAAGAGCTTATTTGGGTGCTGAGTGCCTTGATGGGGTGGGGAGAAGCCAGAGCTCCAGCGGTGTGTGCTTTCTTACTTGAAGCCTGGGCAGGGAGACATGCCTTCTGGGGGTCCTCCTCTGGGTGACTCAGAAGCAGATGCTGAGTTGGGCCGAACACCTCCGTGTCCCCCGGCAGGATGGAGAGGATGCGGATCCTGCTGTGGTGCTGGATCTCACCATGCTGAGGTCTCTGCACCTCAGACCAAAGTGGTCACCCTGGGTTTGATGGCTGCCTCACCAGGTTTGGCTTTCAGTCGCCCAGGGAGGGTGGCATCGTGAGCATGGTCTCCCCTTTGTCTGGTGTCGAGACAGTCACTGCTCAGACTTGCAGCGCCAGAGGGCTTTGCTGATGCTGGTGCAGGCTCCTATGCCTGGGCTGGGTCAGGGAGCCACAGCACATTTGTGGGGGGACATGTAGGGAACAACTGCTGGCATGTCTGCATGTAAAAGTACCAAAAGAAAGAGAAAATGAGTCTATTTTAAAGGATTTCTCTATGAAAAGCAACAGCGAAGCACTGCAATGCCAGCAGCTCCTTTGCATCAACGGACAGCTGCTCAGCCTCTGGAGTTGTCATGGCTGACACGTGCAGAGGAACTCTTGGAAAAATCTGGACTTTTCTAAATGTGTTTTAGAGAGGATAAAATACCTGGCAAGTCCCACTGCAGAGGCCCCTTCTTGCTGGCACACCTGTGAGTCAAGTGGGCTCTGAGTACAAAGTGCCGCTCTGGGGATGCGGCTTAATTGTAAGTGGTGTGATCTGGGTGGAGAGCCTTCTCCAGTCATCCCATGCATGGGAAGAGTTTGACATAGCTTGGTGTTCCTTTTTCTGATGGGCGTGTTGGGTATTAAGCCATGGGATTACTTTTTGCATGATTGAGAACGGGCAAGGTTGTCCAATACCATGAATGCACGCTCCCCGTGGGAGCGCTTAGGAGCTGTAGGCTGGATTTGGATCTTCGGGGCAGTGATTTCACCCAATTTAGTTGAGGCTTTGGCTTTCCGTGCGACACCAGTATGAATGTACTTTCAATAGTCTGACGTGATGTTTCCTCAGAAATATTCTTAATTGTGTGGGCTTCACTTTTGCTCCCTAAGTGGAATATAAATAAATAAACCTGCTTATTTAGCGAGGGTAGATCAATATATTCTTTGTCACAGTTTTTCTTTGCAAGTGGTGTTGACAGCTTAGTGTTCTCCTTGTTATAATATTCCTCGGTTAGGTATTATGTTAGTTATTAGTTACTATATTAGTTATTATATTCCTCTGACAGGAATAAAATACATTTCATACATTTGTTGGCTGTGCTCTGCCCTATTCCCAGATCTATGCCTAGATCTGGAAGAACTTGTTTGTACAGGGGCCATGTGCTCCATCCTTACTCTCATAGTTCCCTCGCAAGGACTGGTAATTTTAAACACTGCTCAGTGCACTCTTGAATGTGATTTTAGGGCATTGCCCTTGCTGTCTCAGGTGTCTGTGTTTAGCGGATGCCTTCTGCAGACCTGTGACTGCAGAGTGGGCAGAATTTTGAATGCCAAAGCTAAAAATGCAAACTCCTGCCTTGGGAAAAGCAAGATCCTGTTTTGATCTTCTCTGCTGGGAAAAACCCACCCAGGTCCACAGGAGTTTTGTCTCATGAAGGGCTTTGGCATTGTCCAGGTACTCGTAAGACATTTGGGATGCGATGTGTAGCTACCTGCCTTCACAAAATTTGCAGTGGGAGATGAAAAGACAGCCATGGCAGTCGGGATTCAGGTGCATTTGGGAGTGAAATAAATGTCAAGCGCAGGAATCCTCCCAAACCAGGTCATCACTCCTGGGTATGCACCAGACTGGCATCCAATGAGATGTCACCAGGCGTTGCTATGGGTACCTAGGGATGCTCGGTTCACTGTATGTTGGTCCCAGTGCTGCTGTCCTGTCCTGTCCTTTTCTGTCCCTCTCAGCAGTGCCAGTGGGGGAACTCCCCTCTGATGTGTGGGGAAAACCAGAATTTGAAGAAGTGCTCTCAGGGTTTTGCTTTCAGCTTTCCACAGGAATTGGGAGAGGAGGTGTTTCATGCACTGCAAGCAGCTTTCACTTTAACACCTAGATGTAGCCATCCTCTCATCTTGTAGGCTTTTTTATTACTGTTATTACAGGCATTTGCTAAATACCACTACCCAAAGTATGTCTTAAAAATATCCTAGACCACAATTAGAAAGGATTTTCGTGTTTCCTCTGTCAGGCAAAGTGGGACTCCTACCCTGCAGCACAGCTGAAGCCCAAGGAGCTCTGCCTCCCCAGTGCTCTGCAGCAGTGCCAGCAAAGAGGCGGGAGGTTTTATCTAGAGTCCTGCTGGTGGGACTGGTTGTAACGAGGAGCTCCACCAACACGGTGCACATGGGTTTAATTTGGTAGAAAACAGGGTAGTTCTTAAATTAAAACCAGCAGATGCTGATGTCCCTGCTACCTGCAGGAACAGTGGCATGCCCGGCCCTATGCGGAGCTGACTTTCTTCAGGAAGGTGCCATAGCACACCTTTCACTTATTTTCCATGCTGCACATGGGGAGGTGGGCGTGTTCCTCTTCTCACGGGGTGGCGAGACCTCTCCTCTGAGCAGTCAGAGACTGGAAATCCTCACACCTCTGCCAGGCAGGGGTCCCTCGGGTACCTCTCTGCGGACGTACAGGCATTCCCCCTCTCCTCTGCCTCCTTCCAGCCTCTTCCCCGGTGTGGTCAGCCCCCCAGATCTTCTCTCTCCAGTGTTTCTCCCTCACTGCTGCCAGCCAGACCTGCCTGCGCTACCTCCCTAGCCACAAAAACATGGAAATTGTAACTCCTTCCTCTCCCTTGTCGGGGAGGGGACAGGTGCAATGAGTGGTTTGCATTTGGGGGATGATGAGATCCTGGCAACCCTCTAAGCAGCTGTGAAATTTCCCAGCAGGAGGTGATAAAGACCCCCTCCTGCTCACTGTTAGATTGCAGCCCACTTTGTTTTGTTTTCTTTTGGTTTATTGATATTTATTTTTTTTTAATTTGGAGCAGTGAAACAGAGCACAAAATGTATTCCAAACAAACTCCTCTGTATGCAACCGCTTCCTGACGGGGCATGAAAATCTACCCAGCACAACAAGGGATACAAGGATCTGAAATACCTACTGGTCATGGCTGAAGCCCGTATTTCCTCGTACTGCTAAGGGACTTGCTCTTGTAAGCTGATGTTAAGAGCCACAGTTTGTCTGCCTCCAAGAGGCATTTTCCATCTGAAGTGCAGCTCGAGGGTGTTTGCTGGGGGACAAGTGGTCATGCTGCAGCTCCAGTAGCATAAAGAGGGTCTTCTGACTTCTGGCACCCAATGGCCACCAGCCTGGCAGTGCCTTTGAGATGGCTTCTCTGCTCTAAAGCTGCCCTGAAGTGAGCAGCAGCTTCTTGTCACAGGTTGTGAAGCCTGGGAGGGAAAGGCAGCGGCTGGAAGTGCTGTAGGCAGCAGCCTTGCCACCGCTGAGGCAGCCGGCCATGCGCTGTGGTGGCCACTCACTCGCAGCAAAGGAGCTGAACCATTTGGCAAGGGGCAGAAACTAAGAATGGGCTTCTTGATGGTATTGTACTTCAGACCCTGACCAAGCACTTCTGCAAAAGATTTGGGCTTTATTGCATTTTACCCAGGCCAAGTCCTTCTGCTAATGTTTTTGCCATGTCTCACCATGGCTTCCTGGTTTGGTTTTTTTTTGGTTTGTTTTCTTTTTCTTCTTCCGTTATAATTTTGCTCTTGATTTTCAGTGTGACTTGTTGTACTCTATGACAATAACCTTCTTAGCTCTAATGTCCCTCCTACCCCTCAGCAGTTGACCAAGCTCCACCAGTTGGCTATGCAGCAAACCCCCTTTACTCCCCTTGGACAGACCACCCCCGCTTTCCCTGGTACGTACCCACATGCCCTTTCTAGATATCCTTCTCTTCCTACCTGTAGAGTTTCTCTCTCTTTCTAAACTCATGCTATTTTATGGAAACAAGCAGGGCAAGTAGTAAAACTGAAGTTGCAATGTCTGTGGGGAAAGGTTAGCAGGGAGACAGGATGAATGTTTGGGGGTTATGGTCATCAGGGGCGAGCTCTCAGCCGTTAACCATGCACGTCTGAACTGCTCCTGCGAAGCCACGTTTACCTTGCTTCCAGCTTTGCTGGCTTTCTCAGCAGAAGCGATGAGCACCAGTCTCACACCTTCCCCAGCCAAAGGAGATAGCATCTCCCACCGTGTGCTGATCTGGACCCTGGTGGGACATCCCCATTTTCCCAGGGGGAACGGCTCAGCACCAGCTGGGGATGCTGCCCTGGCACCTGCAGGGAGTGGTGCTGAGCCAGGCAGGACGGCACCCCCGCACTGGGGACAGCAATGGGAAGGAGCCACAGCTGTAGAGAGCCGCATTGATGGGAGGACAGCCAGATGTGATGTGGCTCAGCAGCCTTGTCCCCAGGGCTGGCGTTTTCATGGTGACCTGGGAAGCAGGTAGAACTCAGGGGATGAAGATGCTTACAGTACCTTTTCTTACTCAGTGGTCAAAGTTCTGGTTGGAAATGCCTTTTCTGACACTATGTTCATCATATTTTGAGCTTCCTAGATGAAGTGACATTGCTTATCTCCTCGAAGGCAAAAGCATTAAACCTCTTTCTTCTTTGCTCTTCAGGAGAAAAGCTGCCCTTACATTCCTCCGAAGAAGCTCAAAATCTGATGGGCCAATCATCAGGTAAAACACAAAGCTACAGGGAAATAAGCAGGTGTCTGTTGAAATATGTTTCTTAAATAGGACTGTGCCATCGTTGTGCTCCTAGATAAATTGTGGTATTTGTGGAGAAGACGGCAGGTCTTCTTGTTGAGCAGGGAGAGACTGGGCAGCACTGTGCCTGCTATTCTCCTTTGTACAGCATGTCAAAAGAGAAGTGCCCGGAGTTTATTGCCTAGTTTTTTGATGTTTGTGTATAACTGCCATCTGTGTAACAGAAAGACATCAGAGATATTGCCCTTATTCTTTCATTTAATTTTGTATAAACTTTGCTCAGAAACAGTAGCAAAATGCCTGTGGGAACAGAAACAAGACACAATTCTAAGCCATTCAGGGTGAGCTGCATTTTTAGTGGGAGAGGACCCTGAGGAGCCAAAGCGTTGCTGTAAGCTTGGAGAATTTTTGATCTCAAATGTCCCACACATTCATCCATATATGCCAATCATGCTTATCTTTTACAACATACCATTGCTTAGAGGAGTTATCCTGAGACCTGGAGGCTCACAGGTGATGTGAGTCAGACCTCTCCCTGGGGGTACCTGGGACACACAGATGCTCTGCAGCCATCCAGGGCTCATGACATGCCTGCCTTGAAAGAGTCTGGGGACATGGCCTAACAATGGAAGCAAACGTAGCCCCAGTAAATAGAACACACAAGACTAGAGCAAAGATAGATTTCATGATACCAGCCTGCACAGCCTTGTTTTCTGTGTGCCCTGCTTTTCCCTTTCACCCAAGGCATTAATCCTGCCCTGACATCCCAACATTACAGCTGTGGGGACTGCATGTGCATATCAGAGAGGGAGGATCTGGTAGACTAAAATAAACTGTCTCCAGGTAATGGAGAGAGACACGGCCATTCCTCAATGGCCATTGTGATGCAGGGGTGGTGCAGTACCAAAGCTTGCCCCAGCTTTCAGCAGCACCCATGCCATCTGAGCATCAGGCAGGGAGCCCTATCTAAGAATCTGAGGAGCCCAGCTTGCATTTCCTCTGGGTGCCTCAGTGCTGCTCTGAGCCCATCTCCAGTGCTGTTCTCCCTTCAGAAGACCTTTTCTGTCATACCCAGGCTGGTACTGACTTGAGCCTTGTGTGGCTGAGAGACAGGGCCTACTGCATGGCTGAGAGACAGGGACACCAGCCCCCTGAGGGACATGTCTTTGTGTTAGGTGCAGTCCACCTTGCCCCACACAGTGAAGAGGTTCAGCATGAAAGATTATCCAGGGCTGGTGAAATGTCTCTTCCAGTGCAACTTGCTATAAAGTCAGCATTAAGCATTGCCCTCTGTGTAAAATCTGGGCAGGAGCTGTTTTGTGCAGACTTCAGCATTAGTACACCCAACAGAGGTGAAGGAGGGCTGCCAAGTGGAGGATTTGCATCCCCATGCATGCCTTTCTGTGTGCTTCTGAGTGAAAAATGTGGTAGAGATACCTCCTGCAAGTGGGTGCCTGGGCAGGGTACCCAGGCGTTGTGTCTCTGTAAGGGAAGTGCATGCGGGAAAGCACAGGAGTCATGCAAGAGTGAAGTGAGAATACCTGATATTGGCCTTTGTAGGGGTGATGCTCGAATGGGATTGCAACCTAAGGCTTCATTTTAGTATTTTAAAAATCTTCCTTTGACAGTGCTGGTACCCAGACAGACATCAGTTCAGACCTGCTGCGTTCTAAAGCCTGGGCAGCTCTTGCTGGCAAAACTACAGGGAAGCTCCTCTTCTACAGTGCTGAGGGCTCTGATGGAAATGCAGGCCAGCAAAACTTCGCCATTGCTTGGAGGAGCTGCTCAGCATGGTTAAGGCAGCGGCATCATGCTGTGCAGTGTGAAGAAGCCCTGCTGGACTGGGTGATCAGGAACTCGGTGCTGCTGCTGGCTTGTGTTGTAGCAGCCCAGCACTTCCAGTCTCCTTGTGCTTCTGCCACCCTTTGCACACGCATCCTGGACTTTTGCACACACTGCTCTTAAAAGCCTTCCTCAGTGTTCATATCATATGGATAAGGGTTTGAGGTTACTGCAAATTTCTGTTAGCCACCAGACAGCTTCTGTCTTGCAAATACTTCAGCATTGAGGTGATTTAATAGGGAAACCTTTCGGAGAGGCAGGCTTTGACCTGGCCTAGGAGCATCACGGCGTGCTACTCTGGAGCTGCATGCACAGGGCAGCCTGCTGGCTCCAACCTTTCCCACTGCGGAGGAGAGTGCCCTCCCTGGCCCGGGAGAGGCTGGGAGGAAGCGTACTGCTGCCTTCACTCCTTGCCATGTCATTTTGTAGGGAAGCAGGCTCTAAATCTTCATACTCTTTGCCATGCTTTCCCTTGAGAGTTAGAGAGACCACCAGTCCCGGGTCCAGCTAGCCTGCATGTCTTAGTGGTCAGTTTGCAAGTGTGTGGGGCTATAACTTGCAAAATGCTTTGCAGGTTGTCCTGTGCTAGCACTGCCAGATCCCCCAGGGAAACTGGCTTTGGGGCACCAAGCTCTGTGCTGCTGTGTCCAGAGACGGCTGGAGGGTGCATGGAGAACCCCCACAGCTGGCAGGCTCTCTGCCTCTGGGGTTGGGTCTCCCAGCCAGCAGGCTGTCAGCTGCTGTGTGGAAGAGGGCTCTGTGGGAAGGTGCTTTTCCCACATCTCTCTGGCGATGCTGCAACCTTGCACTGTAACGCACCCTCCTCTGAAGCCATTCTCAGTGGGAGGATGAGGATGGGAAGCAAGGCACTCATGAGGCAGCACTTGCAAGGCCAGCTCGAGGGATGCAGAGGAAGGTGGCACCCAGCTCCAGCAAAGTCAGGTAGCAACCGTCTTCCTCCTCCTTGTACCAGCGTGTGTGATCCCCTTCCCCTCCTGTCCTGGTAGGTTGCAGCTTTTGCAGTGTTGACTGTTGCAGGAAAGCAGCGGAGCTCCACCGCGCTGCCTCTACAAGCTATAACCATTTTCCCTTGCATATGCCCAGGTTTGGATGCCAGTCCCCCGGCCAGTACTCATGAACTCACCATTCCCAATGATGTAAGTAAATCCAAGTGCTTCCTTGGCATGTGTGTGTGTGTATACACGTATATATGTGTATGTATATATATATATATATATATAAAAGCTGCAGGCATATGCCATTGTTAAATATGTTTAGAGATGCCCCTTCACCAGGTTCACTCATGTCATGTGCGGTCTGTTGGGAATCAGCCTGCAGCATAAAGCACCTGTTGGACTTTACTCTGTTGGTAGCTTTCCTAGGTGCAATCCTTAATGCTCCTTTTCCCTTTCCAAGTGAAATCAGTGCTCATGAAACACTACCAGTTGACAGCACTGGGAAGGGGGAGAGCTCCTGAGCCAGCCCTGATTAAACTTTAATTGTTTAATCTAGCACTGGCAGATCTGAGATGATGTTTCAGCTCAAGTGTAGTTACTGGGGCAGGGGGAATTGAAGAGGAGGTAAGTAAATAGTGTTTCTGATGACACAAAGTGTCACACAAAAATCTGAAGGATGGTGCGTCTTATCTCAGTACTGGTGGCAGGCAACTTTCGGGTCTTATAGATGAAGGCATTGTGGTAAAGTAGATGTTGGACTGGGATATTTACCGGGAGGAGGCTGCAGTCATGCTGGGCACCACATGGTGCGAGGTGGGTGTTTGGGGATGCTCAGCGGGGAGGATGTGGGATGGAGAGCACAACACAGCAGCACCTGGATCCATGGGTCTCACTTGCTTCTGGACTGGCCCACCATTTTCCATGGGTTGATAACCAGCCTGCACTCAAACCAGGATCAGGTCAAGTGGGGGCATGACTTCCAGTCTCTGTTCTCATCTCCAAGAACCTTCAGCCCACCCTTATCAGGAGTTTCTAGACCAGGTCTGGCAGCTGTTGATACTTCTTCCTGCTTTTCACCAACACATGGCAATGCAAGGGAAGGGCAGCAAGCCTGGCTGCAGCTCCTTTGGGATGCATGCTCCAGCCTCCTTCCACCCAAGAGATGTGTCAGGGAAACAGCTTTTCAACATCTGCTGGCTGAAGCCCTTGGAGATGCTTCACACCAAGGCCAACCACCAAGGCAGGGTTCTGCAGGGAGATGGCATCAAGGCTGATCCCGAGTCTGCTTCTGTTTGTCCAGTGACAAGCTCCCTCCGGGAGGCTCTAGGGAGCTCTGAAAATGCTCCTAAGGTTGCAACAGCCACATCTGTCAAGCATGGGGGATCATAGACCTGGCAGCAATGAGGACATCTTCAGGAATATCAAGGGACCCCTTGCAAAAGGGCCCAAAGGGGAGGGAAAGAATTCCAGGGGACCTCCCAGAGGACCTAGGAGCATTCAGAGCATTTGCTTGCCAGAAGCCCAGCTCTCATCAGACCTGCGCCACATTAAATGTCATCACCTGCCTTTTTCTGTCTGCTGAAAAATGCCTCCTTAGCTCTGCCTCCTGTTGTTTTGAAGGCTTTTAAGTCCTCACTGCCACCTTCCCTGGAAGCAGAGGACAGGTTTGGATTTCTTAAAGCAAAAGGTCTACAGGCACGTTTTAGTGGTGTAGGTCAGCTTGGGGTTGCACTGCAGTTCAAGGAAGTCTGATTGTATCCATCTGGTTGCTCCTCTGACTATCAGGAGAAACTCAAATGCTGTTCAGCTTGGATATTGTTGAACATCTGTCTAAATAGTTTGGCTCCTCAGGTCTCCCCAGCAGGTTCCCATCTGTAAGAGTTTTTCATTTGCTGAAGCATGTCTGAGTTATTTCTGTGCCATGAAGACCAGGATGGGCAGCTGTTGGGCTGAACACCACACTGCAGCCCCTGGGATAGTTGATACCCTTCCAGCACTGCAGTGGGGTGTATATATTCAGGTTCACATGTGACAAATCACTAGCAAAAGGAACAGTGAACATTTGGAGGAGTAGCTGTCTCCTCTTCTACAGTGACAGAAGTCTAGCAGCTGCCAAGATGAATGTCCCACATATAAAATTCCCATGTGCAACCTTGGAAAAGAGCTCAAATGTTGATGGCCAAGAAGGGCATGCAGAAACACCTCATGACTGTGTTGGTAAAGCTGGACATCTTGGTATGTGTTATCAAGCTGCAGAGGTGCTTGAGGGGACCATAGTTTGATGCACAAATGAGCAAGAGCAAGGATGAAGACTGATGAAGAAAATCAAATCAATGAGGACCATTGAGAAAATTCAAGGCATGGGCAACTGAGGAAATTCAAGTCTCCAGCTGGCTCTAATTTTTTCACAATAGTGTAAAATACATGTTTAAGTAGGATTCTCTTCTGCTGGTGCTGCAGACATGTAGTGCTCTCCTGTCAATGGTGTGCACGCTGGCGAGCCTTTGCATTGCACTGAAGGAGCTGAAGTGGGTAGCAGGCAACGAGCGTGTCCCAGCAGGGTAGAAGTGTGGAATGGGATAAGCAATGTGAAGCTATCGATTATGTGTGGCTGCACCAGCTGATGAGGGGGCTCTTGGAGCTGGGATTTCCCTAGGGAAGCTGGCAGGCTTGTTTTCTTCTAGTAACGTGTCCTGTATAACCTCCTTCAGGTTTAGCTGTGATTGGCAAGGGGATAAGTGCAGACCATGGTCTGAAACATGACTTATTCCCATACTTGCAAAACACTGACCAGTTATTAGACCATGAAAATTATTATTACCAAAATGAGCCCAATATAACACCTTCTTGAAGCCCTCTGAGGCTGGGCGTCATATGCAGATAGTTGAAATTTGTCCCTGAGGAGCAGAGCAGGGCAGGCTGCTGGACGTGTCCTGGGAGGACCGTGCTTTTGTGCAGGTGGGATTCACCCCCAGGCTGTCTCTCTCCTGTTTTCATGAGCGTTAAGGTCACTCATGTCCCAGGGCAGAGGGAGGAAAGCTTCTGGCCAGCACTGTGTGGTTGTGCTTGCATTCCGCCAGAGCTGCCGCTTCTCAGACATTCCCTCCGTGCTTTTTTTCTAGCTAATAGGCTGCATAATCGGACGCCAAGGGACCAAAATCAATGAAATTCGGCAGATGTCGGGAGCGCAGATCAAAATCGCCAACGCCACGGAAGGGTCATCAGAGCGCCAAATTACCATCACAGGAACCCCTGCAAACATCAGCCTCGCTCAGTACCTCATCAACGCCAGGTGAGACCCCCCCACCGACCTCCGCCGCCTCCCACCATGGCCAAATTCGTCCTGCTGGCGTGGTGGGAGCAGCACTCGCTCCCGGCACTGCAGGCCAGGAGGGGCTTCCTGAGGCCGGCTGGGATGGATGGTGGCTTGCTGAGACCTCTGAGCGGGGACCAGATGTCACCAGCGGGATCTCTCCCCCAAGCTGGCACTTTGGCTGGTGACTGGGAGCTGCTTCGCTGACGGCAGAGTGGCTGCAGGTTGCGCCGGTCACCTGACCACTCATCACCCTCACTCGAGGATTGCTCATGGGTGGGCAAAATTGCCACTGACTTTGCCTGTGGACAAGGCAGGGGACAGGGACAGGGACAGATATGAGCTGGTGGTGGGGAGGTATCACTTGGGACCTGCTCACTGGGATCCCAGCATCGCTTACTACCACTTCAGAGCCTCTTCTGTGTGCTTCCAGGCCTCCCAAGGCTTTCCTCCATCCAATGAAAACAATCAGTCCAATAAACTCAAGACATGGGAACGGCCTGATTGCTTCCTTTTAATGATAAAATGCTTGGTGCAACAGGACTTTACAGGGTTCCCGACGCTGCCTCCAGCTGGGGGGTGATGCTTCCTGTGATGTGGGGTACTGAGGGTCTAGCAAGGGGCTGCGAGGGGAGTGTACAGGGGAGATGTAGCTGGAGAGGGGTTGGGGACTATCTCCGTGCTGGTGGTGAGCCATGTCTGTCTGGGGTGCTCACACAGACCTGTTTGCCTGCGTCTATGGGCTCATGGATGGGGAGCTAAGGGGAGAGAGGGCCTTTACTGGCTTCACACTCGCCTGGCACAGCCGTGCAAGCCAAGGCTGTCCACGTGTCCATGCCCTCTGCTGCAGGCAGAGTTGGTGACGTGCTAACCTGCCACCAGCCCAGGGTGCGTGTGGCTGCAGGAGGCTGCTGGTATCGTTCTGAGGATGGGGGCTGCTGGCAGTGACTCTGATGTTTGTTGGTGTGTGGGCTGGGAGCACTTGTGAGGTCTGTATATGCCTTCTCCTCCTTGGACCCAAACCACCTCAGCCCTGACCTGCAACAGCCCTCCACCATCCTGCCCCGCTGTCCCGCTGCCCCCACCCATGGCACCTCTTCAGTCGCTCAGGAGAGGGACAAGGCCAGCCCCATGCCCAAGGGCACAGCCGAGCAGTTTTTCCCTCAGCTCCTTGCAATTCCTCCCCCCCCCCCCCCCCCCCCCCCCCCCCCCCCCCCCCCCC